CCGCAGCTTTTCCTACTGCACCCTGCCAGCACCCACTGGCTTTCTGTCCATCATCCACCCGCTACCACAAGAACTGATCCCAAACCCAACCGCAGTCCTGCAATGTTATTTTAGGAGAATGTGATGCAGCTCATTTGCCAGCCATGATCCCAGCAATTTTGAACCCTATAGGCAATATCAAATGTGCAGAAAATAACTTAAGAAATAGGTTAAATTACCAGAGATTCTCACATGGCCCTTATATTAGGCTATCTGTATTACTGGGCTATATCAGCCAATATGCTAGATGTAGTTTGAACAGAGCAGAGTTGGAGAGACTTGCATTTTCTCTATGGCTACTGAAATTGAAGCAGCAAGAATGATGACAGCGACACTTGCTACGTTTTGCATAGCCTATAGGATATAGCCTACCTTTTAGGAGGACGATTTGCAGGCAGAGACTAATAAATGGGTAATCCATACTTATTGAAAATTAAAAGGCGCAACGCTCGCTCACCATAGTAGCCTAACCTATGTGCTTGTTTTGCCTTTTCCTTTTCAATGATGATTACATGTTTTGATTGCACTTCGACTCACATTGGTTGAGAGCCCTCTACTTCTTTCCATTATCAAGATTTATTTACAGACATTGTAGTAAACTACAGTCTAATCATATTTAAGTTAATTTCATATTCAAGTTAACTGCCATGTGATTCTCCGGCAGCCTACTCTATTTCAAAGAGGCCACACATACTAGGCGTACTTGAACTCTCACGCCCAACTAGGAGAGAGAGAGGTAGGCTACTGAAGTTGAAGCAGCGAATTCTGTGTGTGAATAATGCAAAAAATATGTGATTTTAATACAATAGGTAGGCTAATGCATACAAAGCAGAAAGAGGACTGTTTCCAAATAATATGTGGGACACCAAAAATGTTTTCATCCCAAAGTCATCTGTCTGACCGCCCGGTCCCCCCCGGGAAGAAAAAGCGGACTGCGCCACAATGATCTCTGTCAGGACCTGCAGGTCCCGTGTCATGTCTTAGCAGGATCAGATGGTGACAGGGGTCCCAGCAGAGTCAGACAGCCAGGGAAGACCAGTCTACAGAGCTCAGGTGAATTTGGCAGTATATTAACAATATCAGTGAGTGATGCAAAGTTCCATCTTGAATTGATGGGTAGACCTACAGTAGCTACAGGACAGCAGCTTAAGCTTAAAGCTACAGTCTGTGATGTGGGAATAATGGTAATTTTAATTATTGAACCATTGATTCTGTTGTTGGATAATATAATGTATAAATGTATATCAAGGTAATTCTTTGTCATGCCTCATCTTAGGAGAATCGGATGGTGACAGGGGTCTCAGCAGGGTCAGGCAGCCAGGGAAGGCCAGTCTGTGACAGAGCTGAGAGTAATTTTTGCAGATACAACACTTTATTCCCTCTGTGCAGCAAACACTGGACAAGCCAGATGCTATTTTAAGGCAGTCTAACAAACCTCCAAAGTTGATTTCCAAACTGTCAAGGGTTGATAAAGGCTTTTCCTGATGACACAAAATATGTAAAACAAAAATGTGAGGAAGATCTGGTAGAAGCTATTGATGATGATGAATGCCCAGTCATGTTCATATCATCTCAGACATAAATTACTTCAGTTTAAGACCATCCATAGAACGTACTATATGCCAGTGAAACTGAATTACATGCACTCGGAAATGTAATTCCTCTGCTGGAGGTGTAAAACACAAACGGGGACATATTTGCATTTGTTATGGTCTTGTGAAGGCTGGCTGAATTCTGGCAAAGAGTATGTACTTTTATCTCAGGATGTCTACAGATTCTCCCTTCTCCCTGTTTTTGTTTGCTTGGAAATATTGATACAGGAGACTGTTATCAGAATAAACTCTGTAACCAAGCATTTATAGCGGATAAGAAATGCATTGCCATTAATTGGAAAGTTGGTTATCCTCCCACAATGTCAAGTTACGTATCACTAGATTTGATTTATTACCAGATTAAGGGTATACTGGGCAACTTTCATAAGGTCCGGATGCCTTATATGGAATACAGTACGAATAAAGGAGTCTGTATTGAAAACATGTCCACGTCAGAGGAGATACCTATTTAAGCAATCCCTAGCTGCTGGCCTGCTCAGTCCTGGCCCTGGGGGTCTGCCGTCCTGTGGGTTGTCACTCTGGCCTTGGCCTAACACACCCGATACCAATAATTAATGTTTCACTAAGATCCTAAAGCTGAGTGGGGTGTGTTGGGTTGGGGTGCTGCAGGGTGGTGGACTCCTAGGGACAGGACGGGGCGACCCAGCTATATTGTGTGCAAGTAAAAAGAGCTCTACAGTACTATTATGCCTATTAATTATAATTAATTATATGGAGGATTTACTGTGATTTGCTGTTTTAATGTATATTTAAGGTGTATGTGGGGGGTTTTGTGGGTTGTTTTTTTTTCGCCAAACCTTTCATTGGGAATCAAAAACATTTAAGGTGGGAACTGGGAAGGAAATTGTGTTGGGAGAGAGTTGAGTGATTAACTAGACTGGTGGGGGTTGGACGTGCAGGCGGCTCGGGCTGGCTGGTCGGTCTGGCTGAAATTTGAGATAGAGGATGTCTTAATAAAGACAATCAAAAGTCTTTATATTTTTTCAAGAGTTGTTCGTTTGTTAAGCTATTGGTTAAAGGTGCAACACAATATGTTTTTTTTGAATTACCTTTGATCTAGTTCAGTCTTATTAATCATTTAAACATATTTAATTATGATATCTTACTTAGCTTGATGACTGTGGGTGTTTTTGCTTACTTTTTGATCTAATTAGAGACAGCATATTGGATTGTGTAAAATGCAGAAAATGAGCTTTAGATGCCCAAAAAAATTCAGGGGGAGGACCCCCAGACCCCCAGGTAATGTCCCCCCACTTCTAAAACCAACTGGCGCCCCTGCCTACTACTGCAAGTCGACTGCACGCGGCTCAGACAGCCCAGACACTTCTGCCCATGCACAACTTGTGATGAGGTTACAGCCAGCTAGGTGTTCATCTCTCAAAAGAGCACAAGACCATGAGATTTTGCAGCAAGGCCGCCATAGTAAGTTTCCTATAAATCCATTGTTATATAAGCGACCGTACTATAGGCCTACTTTCCGCCGAGTAGAGAATGTGTACAAGGAACATTTTGTAACAGCCCTAATCTTTGCTGTAGCCTTATTGGCATAGTTGAATTATTGCTCCGGGCTTTTGCACTGCAGTACACAATCTGAACTCGTCAGGACGCTGCTGCTGTCTCTATGCTCAAACGTTAGACCCATATGGGCCAGCGACTCACTTTGCTCACTTCTCAGCCAAAAAACACAGACTTATTTTCCCTTTAACTTCTGTTCAAGATTTTTACTGTCATTCACTTTTGAACAAGACAAGAAATAAAGGCAAAAACAATAATGTTAACACAGCTCATAGTACTTTTCCATCAAATTGTATTTATCCTAATTGGCTATTATGTTTAAAATATAGACCATTGCTATAAGTCATATCGGACCTAATGTTGTTTGTGCATTTGACCATAGATAGCTTTTTTTTTTTTTTTTTTTACTGAATAGGCTACATTTTAACCGATTGAAATGGTAAATAGCAATGCTTTGTACAACTAGCCTGCTAAATGTCAGACACGGAATAACATGCATATGCTAAAATTGATTTTTTAGGGATAGCATCAAAAAGAAGAAAGGCTCTAGGCTTATAGGCCTAAAAAAAGTATTATTGGTTTATTTTAAATCTATTTTAAATAAATTTTACTCGTTGCGTGCATATTTCACATAAATATGAGTAACGTTTTCTTTTGGAAATGAATTCCCGAATACAGACAGACCATTACAGAATGGAGAGAGAAAACATTTGTAGACTAGGCCTATACTGTCTATTTATTTGTGTGAATTGCAAAAGAGGAAACCTTCGTGATCATTTCAAATGGTGTGCTACGGCTAAACAAAATGTGTTTTGTATGAAAAAGACGCGCATAACATGGATTTTTGCTCAAATCTCCATTTGACATCAATGCATGATTTATGTTACAGTTGGAGTTTCACGCACGTTAGTAAGTATTCCGGACCTGCGTTGATAGGCCTAATATCCCTTAAATTAACTTCTCTTTTAAAATAATATTTTAGACATATTATTTTATGGCAACAGTTTCTGTCTTATTTATGGGTAATTTGTAGCCTTATCAAACCCATCAATTAGGCATACAATAAGATGTATTTCATATAGGCCATAGCCTATAATCTTCCCATCAAAGTTCATGCTTTGAGACGTTAGATGTGATAGGCCTATGACATGGAGTAATAATCGAAATTATTTATTTCCGATAATATGCTATTGTGAACTGTATTACGTTTTATTTTGTTATTAAATGGATGTGAAAATTAAACTATCAACCCTAGTCCATTGATTGTTTTAAATCAAAACGAAGCATTACCCTATTTACAATAGGCATAATATTAAGAAATGGAACACTAGTCACTTTAATAATGTTTACATATCTTGCACTACTCATCTCATATGTATATACTGTATTCTATTCTATAATATTCTACTGTATCTTAGTCCATGCCGCTCTGTCATTGCTTGTCCGTATATGTATATATTCTTAAATTCCATTCCTTACTAGATTTGTGTGTATTGGGTATATGTTGTGAAATTGTTAGATATTACTTGTTAGATATTACTGCAATGTAGGAGCTAGAAGCACAAGCATTTCGCTACACCCACAATAACATCTGCTGAACACGTGTATGTGACAAATAAAATGTCATTTGATTTGATTTGAATATGATCATATAATATGCTTAATACAGTATAATATGCTACAGTATTTTGAAGATATTTTCGAATTTCAATATTTCCTTATAATCTTAACCCCATGCTCCTCAGGTTAAACAAGCCAGGTATTAATGAAACACATTCACAGTTCTCTTGGCAAAATAATATAATAAATGATGAAACATGTTTTGTATAAATAGTCATAGTCATTTATTTATAATAACGTCGAAAGCCTTTCACTCATTTTAAGATGTATAAATATAAAGTTAATCATTTCTCCCAACAAACAAACCAAGCGCCCCAGGCTACATTAAATACATAAAAACTTTTTTTTCGTTTATTTAAAAAAAAACAAATCACCTCTTATTTACACATGTACAAAAGTGGTCCTCTATTGTCATAAACAATAAAAATGGCAAGGAAAGAACAAAAGATGACGATGACACACAAACACACATAAATAAGTCGGAAATTATATCTCATTAAACGTGACCCATGGGAAGCCAATGATTGAACTTCAAGGAATTGAAACCTTTCTATTAAAGGAAGGAATGGGAGCTTTGCCATCCTATTCTTCTACTACAGCAACATTCTGCAACCCTTTCCGTTTGGTGTTTTCTTCATTTACAGGAATCGATTCGTTTTCATGAATGTAGCCATACTATAACTGTCTTTTCATAGCACTAGATAGATGGGGTCATGGGACGGCTGTCGGCAGTTGGTCGGTGCCCCGGTTTCGCTCAGGATAGATCCCTCTTGTGGAGAGCAGGGGCTACCCTCCGAACCCTCCTGGCCTGATAACACAGTGCACGCGGACGTGTCTGTAGAGATTCTCTCCACGATGTTGGATAGACAATCCAGGCTGGAGATGACTGCTGCGTTCTTGTTGCTTCTGGCATCAGCTGTAACAGAGGTGAAGGAAACATCAGTCAGAGACAATATAAACTAGTAACATTGTCTACATGTGTGTCAAATAATGTCTGTCTTGAATCTTGTGCATTAGGCTACTGAAGAGAGCTGCTGAATAAAACGTACTTTTAAAACCGTATAATAAAGGTCTAGGCCTAACAGGTCACAATAATATAACACTTTAAAATAATAACTTACCATTTGGAGTCTCGGCGAAGTAAGAGCTGTCATAGTTGCTTCGTCTTGCGGACGTGCATGTTGGGGCATTATAGTCCATCTGCATAAAACATTAATAAATGCAATCTAAGAATTCGATCAATAAAATAACACATTGTGTGTTCTGACAGGTTTTGGAATGATATGCAATAACATTAATATCTCAAACTATAGACCTATATCCAAAATAATATAAGAAAATAAAATCGAATAGGCCTACTATCTGTATTTATATAGACCTGCAAATATGTTTTATTTAAGAAAAAAACGACATGCCCATAGACACTGATGTCAAGATGCACCAACTCACCATTCCATCAGAGCAGTTGGACTGTGGACTGGATGCGTCAGAGTCCCCGCTATAGTGCTCCAACACCGGGTAGTAGTTCTCGCCGTCCTGGCCCCTGAGCAGAGATTGCAGAGACTCGATGTAGCTGATTGCATTTCTCAGGATCTCCACCTTGGGAAGCCTCTGATTGGGGTTGTTCGACGTGCATCTCTTCAGGTTCTCGAAGGCGTCGTTTACCTTGCCCAGTCTCCTCCTCTCCCGCATGGTAGCAGCCTTCCTCCGGTCAGAGTTGGTGGTTTTCCTCTTGCAGGCTTTGCATGCCCAGAGGAGGCACCTGCCGGCTTGGTGGTGCCCGCTCGGTGCCCTGATGTGCTCGTCTTCGTTGTGATGGTGGTCGTCTGGCTTGAGGAGACCCACGTGGACTAACCGGGGGTCCAGGTCCTCGAAGAAATGCATGTCGCTGGTGTTGAAGCACGGGTCGTCATAAAAGTCATCAGCAGAGGTGACAGGGAACGAAATATCCGACAACTCCATCTCACTGTCAAATTCCAAGAACAGCTTTGTAACGATTGGAATCCTGGCTCTGTATTTGTACTTTGTGAGAAAAAAAAAGGTATCCTTAGAGCAACCAAAAACTTAAAAATGGAATGTGGTTGTCTTTCCCAACCTGTATCGTAGTTCACCCCTTGGGTACCTGCTGCTGATGCTGTGGCTCGAACAAGCTTTTATCCCTGGTGAGAGAGTTGGGGGCGTATTCTGCATTTCTGACAGCTCCCTGGATTGGCCAATGGTCGCGCTGAGTGGGTGCGCAGGGAGGGGTTTACAACTTCATGCTAGTTAGTGTACAATTTCTCGTAACTGTCTCTATAATAACATGGAATAGAATTACTTTATTTTTCCAGAAGGAACTTCAGTAACAGCATAATATTCTAGTAATAGGACTACATAGAATTATAATAATAATACAGCTATGCACCAACATATTAAAATGGAATCTGTAAATTATATTTATGAAAAGTTAATTGATTGTATTTCATTTTTCATTAAAATTATTAGAGCTTCTTAAAATATCAGTATGACTGTATTCAAACGAATAATAGGCCTCGAACTCTCTTTTAAAGTCATATAGCCTAAATCTTTCATTCTGTTATTCACAAGTTTCTCTAGTGACCCTATTTGTTACGAAGATCTAAGTTGGCCTAATGATATCACTCATTGTTGTCTCGCACACACTATTATTATAATCTATATCCCTCGAATATATTCATTATCTAATTAGCAGGCTGCTTTATAATTAATCAGGCAGACCTGTTTGTTTTAAATAAAATATAATTTTCTACATACGAAATGCTCTCATGGCTGTAACTTCTGTTGTGATCTGAAGAGATTTTTTTTATAGTCAGGCCTATTGGAGAATAATAGGTCATTATAAACCTGCTTCATGAAAATCTCAATGTATTGGTGTTGGTATTTATTAGGATCCCCATTAGCTGCTGCAAAAGCATCAGCTACTCTTCCTGGGTTCCAAATTAAACATGACATAATACATAGTACATAACACTATTAGTCAAGGACTGAAATACATACATTTATAACGTCACACATAGCCTACATATCACAACATACACACAATATCTAGGTCTGGGTTAGGATCGCTAGATGGCGATAGTGAGTTGATTAACCCAGTGTTAACATCCCATGCAAAACTCCTGCAACAATCCAGAATCCTTTGACAATCAGGAAATTGAAGTCACTATGAACACTTATATTACATTAAACACTATATGAGCCATAGAGAAAAAGAGAGCTTAGAATTTTTTTCACAACTTTATTTCAAAAGGAAGACATATTGTTGTCAAATTGTACTGTATGTGATGAAGAGGGACAGTGAATATTTCAACAGTATAGGCAATAGGTTTTGTGGAAAGTGTATGGATGAGACCATTCCCAAACAATATCCCTTTATCATCAACCCAGAATGTCTAATGAATCAGTGATCTCTTTGTAACATAGTGAATACAGAAATACTTCACATTATAAGCCACTTAACATAGTATACTGTGAGGTGTGTCAATGCAGGAGTCAGCCAGAAAAATACCAGATATTACAGTATTTGAAGTGCTTTGACTTCAACTTTGATTGTCAAATTTGTATCTCTCAATTCATCCAACAGTGCCTTTATGACAACAAGAATACACTTTGCTTATGGAATAAATACATACATGATACACTGAGGCTGTGCCATTTTAAATGCCCAGATCTAGCACATAATACATGTATTCTTCATTTTTGGTAGTCCCTAGAATATAAAATACTGGATTCAAGACCTTCCACCCTCTCTAACACATAACTAAGCCAACCCCCCTTGTTTGTTCAGTTCTGAAATAATTTCCATAGAGGACCCTGGAGTGTCTTCTACAATACATTGGTCTTACTGACTAGCAATAACACAATATAGGTGCCCAGAAAAAAAAAAACACTGACAGGACAGGAGAGGCTTGTTTTGTGAGTCTAATTCAGCAAGTAGGCTTCTTTAATAGACATGCACGCGCTAGTGAGTGAGTGATTCATCCACTGGAGACGTTGGTCAACTCTTCCTGCAGCTGGTCGATGAGGTACTCCCCGAAGCCCCCCGAGCGGTCGCTGGTGCAGCCCACTCTACGGGCATTGGTCAGGAGGTCTCCCAGCAGTTTGACGCGGGGCACCAGCAAGCGGCTGTTGACCACGCTGGCGGAGTGCAGGTCGCTGTGCTCCTTGGACAGCTGGCTGAGCTCCACCATCACAGCCATCTCCTCCTTCCACTGGCCTAGCATCAGCTCGAGGGCTAGGATCACCGCACACATCTCCTCACAGCCTGGCCTCTGGGGGAGAATGACAGGACCGACTTTGGGAAACCCTGTTAAATAACCAAAATGTAAATTTTAGAACTGAACAGCTCGCTTAATAGTCCCCCTTTTTGGAAGATTACTTTATTTTTTATTTATTTTTAGTTTATTAATTATTTAAATTATAACACTACTTTAATAGTTTTTCTTTTTAATCTGAAAACATTTTAATATACCTGTCCTACTTTAACTATGATCTTTATGAAAATGAATCCATCCTACCTGTTTAAAAAATTTTAAAATACTAAATAAAAACCTTTGTAGACAACTTCTTTCCAAACTTCAACCAAAGGCTATTACTGCAGAATTGAAATCTTAATAATATCAGAACTGATGAATATACTTATTCAGGACATATCGTTTTCCCTCACAGATCAATGGATAACAAGGTGTCCCAAATTGCTGATGATGGACCCCTTAGCGATCCCACTTGGGATCGATTTGACATGACTCGTAAAACTGGAGGAGGCAGAAAGAGGACACGGCACTAAAGTGTCAACGCCACCCTGTACATCTGGAAACACAATTAATGCCCTGTCCTTCCGCATGCACATTAATCTCCCCAATTTTCCGGAACTCAGGGGAAATGTACACCCTGACAGGCAATAGGCCTGAGCCCCAGGCAAAGCTCCAGGGTTAGGGTTTAACCCCTCATCCCCCTTGGCCTCAGACGTTCCTATTCTGTTCACTCACAACCCCTTATCCCTAGCCCCAAGCATAGACAGTAACCAGGTTTCCATCCAACCATTTCATGCGAAATAATTACCTGACGCATAAAAAAAAGTAATGACAGGGCTTATGGAAACAGGAAATGTTGGTACAATATCATAAATGTCCACAGACAATTTGTTCGTTCGACATGGTGGGACCTTTTTGTGTCTGTAAAATTAATTATGCGAGAAATGGCGGTGGAAACGCATTTATGCGTATTGATATAATAAAGTAAACTTGGAGTCACACGATGAAATGGGCCTACCACCACGACGTGGAAAAGCATGATACGTTTATAGGCAGATTAAATAAGTTATGATGAACTTCACATGGTGGGTAAATGCACAGTGATCATGCAAATTGCCAATAGGCTAAATATCGAGGATAAGCTATTATTTCAATGCTGGTGACATGATGACCGGTGCTTGGCTGCCAATGATCAAATAAAATGATCTTGCTCTTATCCATATAATGAATGAATCATATAACCAACCCCCTGTTCACTTTATCAGTGAGGGATATATTGTCTAGAGAGCATGCATCAAAACCAGATTGTGCAAGTTTGCTATTTATCACAACAGTTTGTGACAAAACCATCGGTAGAGTTGAAATTGCTATGGCCATCTAACTCATGTTTTTTATTCCGTACATGGGAACTTAACCACAAAAGTCATTTTTATGTGCACTATGTCATCACGCACAGCCTTTTATCCTCAACAAGTCAGTTTAATGGAAACATCTCTGGTAGGAAAATGAGCTTATTGTTTTTATGCAGATTTTAGAATATCAGCATGAAAATCTGTGGCCAATTGGATGGAAACCAAGCTAGTGTGCCAATTTATTTTGCCCAGAAGGAAGACAGCATGCATGCATTACCCATGCCCTTCTGTACTGCCTAGAGTTAGGAGGAACCCATCCCCTCTCCCAAGCAGTGGGTACACGTAATTAGAATGAGTAGAATAGGCATCCCCATTGAGGTCAACTATGCCATTATATTTCTATGAGTGGGCAGCTCTAACTGTAGTGTCTTTATTACAGTACTGTCCCCCTCTGTCTGACAGGTAGTCCAGCATGGCCTCAGCCTGTGACTGTTCCTGCTCAGAGTGCTCATGGAAGAATGCTGCCACTCTTGGCAAGGCAATGTCATTCCGCTCAAATATTTTGGCCTGGAAGAGTCAATCATTCAGATTAACTCCAGTGAGAATGATCCATGTACAAATGGGTTATTGACATATATTGCTGTATTGGATGGCATACAACTTTATTCATATTGTGACTAACTTGGTACATTTCATCAACTCATCAAAGGCGTGTGCAGATATGACTAAGGCTACAGCATGGAAATAACTGATAAGAGGAGGACTTGTATCATTCATTGCTTGTACAAACTAGTTATGCAATGTTGTGGAATGACAGCCATGATGACCTCTAAATTAAGCAATAAGGCACGGGGTGGTGGTGGTGGGGTATATGGCCAATATACCAATATACCACGGCTAAGGGCTGTTCTTAAATAAATGTTTTGTCATACCCGTGGTATACGGTCTGATATACCACGGCTGTCAGCCAATCAGCTTTCAGGGCTCGAACCACCTAGTTTATCATGTCAATTCCACATTGCGTTGTACCTAAGAACACCCCTTAGCCTTGGCATATTGGCCATATACCACACCTCCTTGGGCTTTATTGCTTAAATATATGACATAGGGTTGAAAACCTATTTCCTGCAGTGATTCAGGCAATATATTGTTTTATAATCAATGCATGCAATTTCATGAATAGCCTTTATTTGTAAAACATCTTAGCCTTCTGGCAAGGTTGGTACAGTGGCTTGCGAAAGTATTCACCCCCTTGGCAGTTTTCTTATTTTGTTGCCTTACAATCTGGAATTAAAATAGATTTTTTTGGGGGGTCGTATCATTTGATTTACACAACATGCCTACCACTTTGAAGATGCAAAATATGTTTTCCTTGCGAAACAAACAAGAAATAAGACAAAGAAAAAGAAAACTTGAGTGTGCATAACTATTCACCCCCCCCCCCCCCCCCCCCCCCCCCCCCCCCCCCCCCCCCCCCCCCCCCCCCAAGTCAATACTTTGTAGAGCCACCTTTCGGCTAGTCAGAATATATTCAAATAAAATATAATGACTTTATTTTTGAATGCGGGGTATTTGCTTAAATAAGCACAATTCTTGTACATTTTATTTTAAGTGCTGTATTGTTGCTGGCTTTTAGAACAATGGCAGAAGCATCCCATAAACAGCCAGACGTGTCAGGAACACTTTTAGACCAACAGCGCAGAATTGTACTTCCCCATAGGTCAGTGGTCCCTACCCCCTGGACACTGGCCAAATTGTCATTTTATCCTCATACTAAACATGATGCTATCATGTATGTTGATCAACAAGTAGTGTCAGTGATTGCATTCATATCTTCCCGTGTTACAGAGACAATTTTCCATCTGGGACTCCCCTGCCCCGTGCCGCTCCTCTCTAACAATTTGGTGCCCTCCTCTCCTTCCCTCTTCTCTCCCTTTCTCTCCTCTCCTCTCTGCCTACCCCTTCTCTCCCCTCCCCCTCTTCTCCTCCCCCCTCCCGTGTTTCAGTAGCACCCCGTGCCACCGCTGCCTCTCGGGGGGCAGATGAGTGACGCGTGGGGCTGGCCGCTCCTCAGGGGCCTGCTCTGCCAGTAGGGAAGAAAGAAATGGCACTATCGAATTAGATATTTTTTTTGTTTGCTCAAACAGTTTGTAGGCTGTCAAGGATAGCGGTCACGTGTGTTTGCGAGCAGAGGATCACAGGTTCAAGCCCGATGTGGATACAGGGACACTGGGACAGTGGAGGAAACTGTTAGCAGCACACCGACGTCCGTTAACGAATACGGTGCCATTTTGGACATATCCAAGGCCTCCAGGAAACACTTCCAATCAGTGTAAATTATATAAATCTGACAAGATAGAATGGCATGATTTGGATTAAAGGGTACATTATGCTTTTAAATATGCCCTGATATACTGACTTATAACGAGAAAACAACAACAAATAAACAGTTTTAACTACTGCTTTAATCATGCCTGTGGCGATGTAGTATTGCTACAGACCACCCTGGGGATTGTCCTAGGAACTCAACCCAGGCAGGGTCCCCCTACCCACTTTGTTACTTTTAGTTTGGTCTGCTCACACACAGTGGCTTGGAACACAGCTGTTGACAGACACTCAAGGGCACTACATGGAGACTTGTGTCATTGTTCATGTCCAGCTGAACTCTGTGTACAAACACAAGGCCCTACTCAAACATAGTGACACATCTCATACCTGACCAGATTGACTATTTGTAGTTATCTATCTATTAGCTATTTTGGCATTCCTATTGATCATTCTATTTGTAATCTGTCATTCATCTCTGCTTGTTCTAACTTGAATGTTTCTTATTTATTGTTTTAAATTGGTTACTCTAAGCGCAAAGTATTGTTTTTGTGCACATTGTTGTAGCTATGTAACCACACACACACACACACACACACACACACACACACACACACACACACACACACACACACACACACACACACACACACACACACACACACACACACACACACACACACACACACACACACACACACACACACACACACACACACACACACACACACACACACACACACACACACACACATACACACACACACACACACACACACACACACACATATATCCCCTCATACACACAGTCGTACAACACACACTATAAACAGTCAGGACAGGAGTGCTGACGTAGTATTTGACTGGACTGACAGTCAAGGTGTCTGTCCTCACACCTGCTGCGTGCCGTAAAGACTGCTTGGGGGGTTACCCTGTCGGGCCACCACTACAACAGCAGCATTGTGCCTGGACAGCCCTGGCCACAGATTACATTACACACAGATTACCATTTAGGCTACAGGCAGGGCACCCAACCTGACCCCCCTCAGCCTGGACAATGCTGGTGTGGGGGGCTGCACACACACACACACACACACAGAGACACACAAATCTGAGGGGGCACAAAGTATGTGAGGATGGCTGCAGGGTGGTTCTTTAAAAAATATATTTAAAAAAATATGCTTCTCTCTTATTCAGTACATTTCGTTTTTGCTTGCTTTTCTAAAGTCTACAGTGCCTTGCAAAAGTATTCATCCCCCCTTGGCGTTTTTCCTATTTTGTTGCATTACAACCTGTAATTTAAATGGATTTTTATTTGGATTTCATATAATGGACATACACAAAATAGTCCAAATAAAGTCCCCCAAAAAATACTTGTTAAAAAAAATTATAACAAATAAATAACGGAAAAGTGATGCGTGCATTTGTATTCACCCCCTTTGCTATGAAGCCCCTAAATAAGATCTGGTGCAACCAATTACCTTCAGAAGTCACATAATTAGTTAGATTGCACACAGGTGGACTTTATTTAAGTGTCACATGATCTGTCACATGATCTCAGTATATATACACCTGTTCTGAAAGGCCCCAGAGTCTGCAACACCACTAAGCAAGGGGCACCACCAAGCAAGCGGCATGAAGTTGTGGAGAAGTACAGGATCAGGGTTGGGTTATAAAAAAACATCTGAAACTTTGAACATCCCACGGAGCACTATTAAATCCATAATAAACAAATTGAAAGAATATGGCACCACAACAAACCTGCCAAGAGAGGGCCGCCCACCAAAACTCACGGACCAGGCAAGGAGGGCATTAATCAGAGGCAACAAAAATACCAAAGATAACCCTGAAGGAGCTGCAAAGCTCCACAGCGGAGATTGCAGTATCTGTCCATAGGACCACTTTAAGTCGTACACTCCACAGAGCTGGGCTTTACGGAAGAGTGGCCAGAAAAAAGTCATTGCTTAAAGAAAAAAAGCAGCAAACACGTTTGGTGTTCGCCAAAAGGTATGTGGGAGGCTCCCCAAACATATGGAAGAAGGTACTCTGATCAGATGAGACTAAAATTGAGCTTTTTGGCCATCAAGGGAAATGCAATGTCTGGCGCAAACCCAACACCTCTCATCACCCCGAGAACACCATCCCCACAGTGAAGCATGGTGGTGGCAGCATCATGCTGTGGGGATGTTTTTCATTGGCAGGGACTGTGAAACTGGTCAGAATTGAAGGAATGATGGATGGCGCTAAATACAGGGAAATTCTTGAGGGAAAGCTGTTTCAGTCTTCCAGAGATTTGAGACTGGGACGGAGGTTCACCTTCCAGCAGGACAATGACCCTAAGCATACTGCTAAAGCAACACTCGAGTGGGGAAACATTTAAATATCTTGGAATGGCCTAGTCAAAGCCCAGACCTCAATCCAATTGAGAATCTGTGGTATGACTTAAAGATTGCTGTACACCAACGGAACCCATTCAACTTGAAGGAGTTGGAGCAGTTTTGCCTTGAAGAATGGGCAAAAATCCCTGTGGCTAGATGTGCCAAGATTATAGAGACATACCCCAAGAGACTTGCAGCTGTAATTGCTGCAAAAGGTGGCTCTACAAAGTACAGTGAGGGAAAAAAGTATTTGATCCCCTGCTGATTTTGTACGTTTGCCCACTGACAAAGAAATTATCAGTCTATAATTTTAATGGTCCAGGAAAACGCATGTCAAAAATGTTATAAATTGATTTGCATTTTATTTAGGGAAATAAGTATTTGACCCCCTCTCAATCAGAAAGATTTCTGGCTCCCAGGTGTCTTTTATACAGTTAACGAGCTGAGATTAGAGCACACTCTTAAAGAAGGTGCTCCTAATCTCAGCTTGTTACCTGTATAAAAGACACCTGTCCACAGAAGCAATCAATCAATCAGATTCCAAACTCTCCACCATGGCCAAGACCAAAGAGCTCTCCAAGGATGTCAGGGACAAGATTGTAGACCTACACAAGGCTGGAATGGGCTACAAGACCATCGCCAAGCAGCTTGGTGAGAAGGTGACAACAGTTGGTGCAATTATTCGCAAATGGAAGAAACACAAAATAACTGTCAATCTCCCTCGGCCTGGGGCTCCATGCAAGATCTGGAATGGGCTACGGTTGTATGGGCTACGGTTATTGTTGTCACCTTCTCACCAAGCTGCTTGGCGATGGTCTTGTAGCCCATTCCAGCCTTGCATGGAGCCCCAGGCCGAAGGACTGAAATCCTGCAGCGCCCGCAAGGTCCCCCTGCTCAAGAAAGCACATATACAGGGCCGTCTGAAGTTTGCCAATGAACATCTGATTGATTCAGAGGAGAACTGGGTGAAAGTGTTGTGGTCAGATGA